CCATTTTCACGATTGTGATCCATCCAGTCCAGAAGCATGGGAGGTTTATCCACTTTCTAAGTTCTGTTTTGATTTCCTTTTTCAGGTTTTAAAATTTTCATAATAGAGGTCCTTCACTTCTTCGGTTAATTCCTAGATAATGTATTTTTGGTGGCGCTATTATGAATGGAGTTGCCTTCATGATTTCACCAACGCTTTCCTCATTGTGGTCATACAGAAAAGCCATTGATTATTGCGGGTTAATTTTATATCCTGCTGCTTTGCAACAGTTTTGAATCAGCTTCAGTAATTTGGGAGTGGAGTCGTGGGATTCTTTAAGTAGAAAATCATGTGGTCTGCAAAGAGGGAGAATTTTACTTCATCTTTCCCTATTTGGATCCCTTTTATGTTTTTTTTTGGGGGGGGGGTCCAGTCATACGGCCTGAACAATGGGCCTGGGAACTGTCCCTCAACTCTTCAGCTCAAGGCTAGCCCTCTACCACTTGAGCCATTGTGCCACTGCCAGCTTTTTTCTTTTTGCCTATGTGGTGCTGAGGAATCAAACACAGGGCCTCCATAATGTTAGGCAATCACTGTACCACAAAGCCACCTTTCCAGCCTCTCCCTTTTATGTTTGCATCATGTCTTATTGTTGTAGATAGACATTCTAATACTAAATTTAAGAGAAGTGTAGTGAGTGGACATCCTTGTAATGTTCCTGAGTTAAGAGGAAATGGCTTTAGGTTTTCACCATTAATTATAATGCTGGCTGTAGGTTTGTCATATAAAGCCTTTATTGTATTGAGGAATGTTCCCTGGATTCCTAATTTTTCCAGAACCTTCATCATAAAGGATTTGTTGGATTTGTCAAATGCTTATTCTGCATCTATTGAAATAACTATGTGGTTATCCTTGCCATTTGTTGATGTAATGAGTTATATTAATTGACTTGTGTATATTGATCAATATTTGCATCCCTGAAATGAATCCTGTTTGATCGTGGTGTATGATATTTTGGATGAATTTTTGATGTCAACTGCTCAAAATTTTGTTGAGAAGTTTTGCATCAATGTTCATCAAAGAAATGAGTCCATAGTTGTCTTTCTATGATGAGTCCCTGCCTGGTTTTTGGATGAGGGCTATGATGGCTTCAAAGAATGATTTTTGTAGTGAACTTTCTCTTACAATTTCATTGAAGAGTGGAGGAATGTTGATGTGAGCTCTGCTTTGAAGGCCATGTAGAATTCCGCTGTAAATCCATATGGTCCTGGGCTTTTCTGAGATGGGAGGTCTCATTGCTGTTTCTATTTCAATGCTTAATATGGGCCAGTTAAAATTGTTTAACTCATCTTGGTTGATGTTTGGCATGTCAATATTTGCTAGGAAAAGATCTATTTCTTCCAAGTTCTCAAACTTATTAGCATAAAGGTTTGAGAAGTATTCCTTTTAATCTTCTGAATCTTGGTTTTTTCTGGGATGCTGTTTCCATTCTCATCTCTGAGTTTATTTATTTGGGTGTGTTCTCTTGTTTTTTTGATAAGATTTGCTAAGAATCTATAAATTTTGTTAATTTTTTGGAGAACAAACTCTTGTTTTGTTGATTCTATGTTTTTATTTTGGATTCTAATTCGTTTAATTCTGATGTAATTTTAATTATTTCTTTCCATCTACTGAATTGGGATTTATCTTGTTGCTCTTTTTCAAGGAGGTTCAGATATCTCACTAAATTGTTGGTTCCAGATCTCTCCAATTTATTGATTTAGTAATTAAGAGCTATAAAACACTCTGAATACTGCCTTTGCCGTGTCCAAGAGGAGCAAGTAATTTGTGTGTTCATTTTTATTTTTTTGGGGGGGTTTTTTTGTGTCCGGTCGTGGGGCCTGAACTCTGGGTCTGGGTGCTGTCCCTCAGCTCTTCAGCTCAAGGCTAGCGATCTACCAAATTGAGCCATAGCCCCACTTCTGGCTTTTTTTTCTTTTTGCTTATGTGGTGCTGGGGAATCGAACCCAGGGCCTCACGCATGCAAGGCAAGCGCTATACCACTGAGCCACCTTCCCAGCCCCTCATTTTTGTTGAATATCATGAATATTTGAATTTCCTTTCTATGCTCTTCCATGACCCACTGGTGTTTCAACAGTGTGTTGTTCAGCCTCTATTTGTCACAGGACTTTTTGGTGCATTTTGGTGTTGAGTTCTAATTTTATTCCCTTGTGGTCTGAGAGAAGGCAATTTAAAACTATAATGTTTCTGAATTTGGACAAGTTTGATTTGTGACCTCAAATGGTGTATATTTTGTAAAATTTTCTGTGAGCTGATGGGGAAAACATGTATCTGATGCTACTGGGTGAAATATTTGGTAGATATCTGTTAAATTTAATTGATCCATGCAGGTGTTTAGATCTGCAGTTTCTCTGTTGAGTTTTTGCCGAGTTAATCTATCTAGTGTGGATAGTGGTGTGTTAAAGTCCCCTACAATTAATGTCTTTGGATCTATGTGAGCTTTGAGGGAAAGTAGTGTTTCTTGGATAAATCTGGGTGGTCTTTTGTTTGGAGAATAAATAGTTAGATTTGTAATATCCTCCTGAATGGGAAATCCCTTCATTAGTATAAAACGACATTCTTTATCTCTTTTCACTAATTTTAATTTGAAGTATATTTTATCTGATATTAGGGTAGAAGCTCTCACTTGTTTATGGAGGCTATTTGCTTGGTAGATTTGTTACAGCCTTTCACTTTCAAAATGTGTTTGTTTTCATGGGAAAGTGTGACTCCTGAAGGCAGCAGATAAAAGGATCTTGCTTTTTAATCCAACTAGCCTTTTTACATGGCTTAATTGGAGAGTTACATTAATGTTGAGAGTTAGGACTGAGAGGTGTTTGGGAGTTCCTGCCATGTTATCCACCTTCTGGGGGCTGCGGCAACTGGGTTCTTCCTATGGTTCTTGGATTCTCAGTTTGGGTGCTGTTTCTTGGCCTTTATTGTGATCTTGTTGGTTTTCTATTTGTAAGACATCTTTAAGTAGCTTTTGTAGGGCTACTTCTTGGGAGATATATTGTTTCAGATTTTCTTTGGTATGGAAGGTTTTTCTTTGACCTTCCATTATGAAGGAGAGTGTAGCTGGGTACAGTATTCTTGATTGATAGTTGTTTGTCTTTAGGGCATGGCATACATCATTCCAGGTTCTTCTTGCTTTAATTCTCTCTGCTGACAAATCTGAGGGGACTCTAATTGATTTCCTCTTATAGGTGATTGATCTTTTCTACTTGACAGTTTTATGGATCTTTTCCTTGGTCTGAATTGATACTGTGCAGATTATAATGCGACATTGCCATGTCCTGTTCTGGTCTGGTATATTTTGGGTTCTAAAAGCTTCTTCTATCTGAATAATCCTAACTTTTTGCATGTTTGGGAAGTTCTCTGCTAGGATCCTGTAAAACAAATGTTCTCGACCATTAACTTCTGTTTCTAGGTGCTCCTTTACAAACATTATCCTCATATTAGACCTACTGATGGTGTCTTCCAAATGTTGAATAGATCTATTCCATATTCCTTGGATTTGTCTTGGATAGTAGTATGTTATTTCTCTATAATATCAAGGCTGTCTTTAATCTCCAAGATTCTATCTTCTACATGGTTTAACCTACTGTCATGACTTTCTACTTTGTTTTTAATTTCTTTTCCTTCTAGTTGGTCGGCTTTAATGGCTTCAAATTCTTTGTTAGAGCTTTCTTTTAGATCTTTTATGAACTTCTATACTTCCTTAATTTGGTGTTCAGTGTTTATTCTCAAATGACTTAGTTGATTGTTTATGGTTTCCTTTGTTCCCCATTCCCTCTGCCAGGCTCTATTCAGGATTCCATTTGTGGTCTCCCTGAATTCTTTCAGCTGTCTCTTTATGGATTCCATTAATGTCTCTCTTGATCTTTGTGTATTCTCATTCCGCTCTCACAATTGCTGTATTACTCTTTGATCAGCTTCCTCATGTTCATGCAATTCCTGAAGTTCTCTTTGACTGTTCTCAACCTGCTTACACAATACCTGTGTTTCTCTTTTTCTGTTATCATCCTCCTCATGCAATTGCTGTGTTTCTCTTTGATTGTTGTCAGCCTGCTTATGCAATTCCTGTATTGCTCTTTGACTGTTCTAAACCTGCTCACGCACTTCCTGTACCAATCTTTGAGTAGTTTCTGCACTCTCACGAGATTCCACTATTAATCTTTGGTTTACCTCTCTCTCTCCCTATCATGCTCACACTGAGTCCTTTGCAGGTTTTCAATCTTTTCATTCACCATTTTTACCAATATTGTTTGTACAGATTTTTGGGAACTGTCCTCTGGATTATTCACTAACTATTCTGTCAACTGTTTATCATGAGTGGGAGTCCAGATACCTGGACTTGCCATTTTTCTTCTGTTTTTCTGGCTTTTTCTGCTCATTTCGTATGAATGTAACACTAATTTTGTGCTAGAACATAATTTTAAGGCAAGCATCAACCAAAGTTTGGTAGTTGCACAGTCAAAAGGCTATAGACACAATCTAGTTCAACAGATACAATCTATTCAACATCAAACAACTATGGATTAATGGGCTAAGAATAGCAAAGAAAAAAATTGGCAAACCAGAAATTATTAGATGTAGGGAGAAATGTGGGGAAAAATAGGATTATAGGGTGGTGGTGAGGTAAGATGAGAGTGAATTTAACCAAGGCCTAATCTCAGAGAGGGAAATGGATTGGACAGAATGATAGGAGAGACATTAAGAAAAAAAAAACAAGAAAATATAGAAAAACAAAAATTTAAATTTAAAAAGATAAATACTTGGTTCCGGGCCCAGAAGGCCCGCGGGTCAGAGCTGTGCATTAACCCGGCTGGATGGAGGCGGAGGCATTGGCCGCGTCCATGCCATCCCCAGGCATCTCGACCGCCGTGTCTTTGGCCCTGGAGACGGCACGGTGGATGGAGGAAGCTATGCGCATGGCCAAAGATGCCCTTGAAAATAGCGAAGACCCTGTTGGCTATCTTATGGTCTACAACAATGAAATCGTGGGGAAGGGAAGAAATGAAGTGAATCAAACCAAAAATGCTACTCGACATGCAGAAATTGTGGCCATTGATCAAGTCCTAGATTGGTGTCAACGAAATGGCCAGAGTCCTTCTGCCGTGTTTGAACGTACCGTGTTGTATGTCACTGTGGAACCCTGCATTATGTGTGCAGCTGCTCTCCGCCTGATGAAAATCCCGCTGGTCGTCTACGGCTGTCAGAATGAACGATTTGGTGGCTGTGGCTCCGTTCTAAATGTTGCCTCTGCTGACTTACCAAATACGGGAAAACCATTTCAGCGCATCCCTGGATATCTGGCTGAGGAAGCTGTGGAACTGTTAAAGCCCTTCTACAAGCAAGAAAATCCTAATGCACCAAAATCTAAAGTTCGGAAGAAGGAATTTCAGAAATCCTGAACTTGTAATGAAAGACTAAAGCCCCATAGTGACCTGGATGGAATCCCCAGCCTGAAAAGCTGCTGGCATGGAGGGAGCATATATTATGTGTTGTTTGTTATTCTCCGGGAAGACGGAGAATAACATTTGCACTCTTAAGGGAACAAATTAGTGCTTTTTAAAAGGCTGACAATTGTAAACAACTATTAGCTTCTCCACAGCTGAAAGAACATTTTTATGAAGGGGGGGGAAACTAAAGTTTGAGGTTTTAGGAATTAGCAAACAGTACATGTCTTTAAGCCACAGCTTCAATCCATTCCAGCTGAGTGCAGGCTGGGATTTCAGTATCCATCCACACCCCATCACCTGCACTCATTTGGAATAGAAAGCCATGGTCACGTGTGTCCTTTACAACTGGCTTTTTGGAGGTGGAGTTGGATTTTCATTCTTTATAGCTGTTGTGGTCTCCCAGTGTATTGGCTGCGTGAGTGTGAGTGTGTTTGTGTGTGTGTTGGCTTTAGGGCTTGAACTCAACATGTTCTTAATCTCTGGCTTTTTTGCTCAAACTTGAGTCACACCTCCAGTCCTAGCTTTATGTTGGTTAACTGCAGATGAGTCTCACGGACTTTTCCCCCCAGCCTGGCTTCAAACTGTGACCCTCAGATCTCAGCATTTTTTAGTCGCTAGGATTACAGGTGTTATCCACCAGTGCTGGGCAAGTCTGGCTTTTTTCTACATTGTATATTATTTGTATACACTGTATACATGTTATTGTGAAATCTATTGATTTTATTAAATACATAGAAAAAAATGTTTTTAAACAAGTGCCTAAGGGTCATTTAAAAATTGTACCATGTTGCTATAATAGAATCTTAAGATATTTCTGTTTTTAAGGGGCAAAGCATTAAAGGACAATAACATAAATAAGACAGTTCTTTGGTTCCCTGAACCAAAACAGGGTCTTCTGCCTCAGCGAGATTATATTCTCACAAGGAGAGATGGATGAAAAAAACGTAGTTATATACTGGAGGGTGAAGAGTTCCAACAACAGCTGGGCATAGTGATACACATCTGTAACCCCATCACTTGGAAGGCAGAGGGAGTTCAACAAGACACTGTCAAAGCAAAAAGTTACAGCGAAATTAAAAAGGAACAAGATGAAGAATGCCCACTGGTGTGAATGCCAGTTGCAAAATTAAGTAGCATGATACATTTAATCCGAAATCAGCTGTTCCTCATTTGAAAATACAGGTTATAACTGTTAAATTTAATACCTAAAATTTGAAACTGCACAGGAAAGAATATCCACAACAAAACTTTCAGTGTTACTGGGTGCAAGAAGTGTCCTGAAGTTTGGCAGAGCTGCCCTAGGTGCAGTATACGTCTCTTCCCAGAAGGGGGCCTCAGCGTTCCACCAGAAGCCTAGTGCCAGGCCCCAGAGGACTGCTCCTCAGATGGGTTCATTTCTTCAGTGGATTCATTTCCTTGATACAAAGCATCTGTATTTGTTGCTTCTGCCATTTGAGCAACGTCTCCAACTTGTTTGTTTTGAATTACTTTACAGACTGGAATGAAATTGTGGTGGAAGTATTTTTATATTGCTGAGAGTAGCAGCTAATCACAGTTACATGCTTCGAAGGACTTATAATTGCTTGGTTTTGCGTGTGCTGTTTTTAACCGCATTTGAGACATTTTATGAGGAAGGATATGCATGGTTTCAAATCTACAACAATGATGCATGCACCTTCAATTTTATCTACTCTAAAATTTGTCTTCTCATTAAATGTTAGTGCCATGAAAAAAAAAGATAAATACTTAAAAATTATGTAAGTTTATAGATGATATTGAGACATCTATCGAACATTTCACCCAGCAGCATCAGAATACACGTTTTTCTCAGTAGCACATGGAACATTTTCTAAAATAGACCACATTTTAGGCCACAAAGCAAAATTGTCTAAATACAGAAACATTGAAGTTATATCTTGCACTCTCTCAGACCACAAGGGAATAAAATTAGAACTCAACACCAAAAGCCACCAAAGAAAGTCTGGTAACACATGGAGGCTGAACAACACACTGCTTAATCACGAGTGGGTCATTGAGATTAGAAAGGGAATTCAAATGTTCATGCTATTCAACAAAAATGAGCACACAAATTACCAGCTCCTCTGGGACACAGCCAAGGCAGTACTCAGAGGCAAGTTTATAGCTCTAAGCTCCTATATCAACAAATAGGAGAAAACTGAAAACAACAATTTAATGACACATCTAAACCTCCTTGAAAAAGAGCAGCAAGATAAGGCCCAATACAATAGACGGAGAGAAATAATTAAAATTAAATCAGAATTAAATGAATTAGAATCCAAAACAACTATAGAAACAATCAACAAAACAAAGAGATGGTTCTTCAAGAAAATTAACAAAATTGACAGACTTTTAGCAAATCTCAGGAGAAAAAGAAGAGATCACACCCAAGTAAATAAACTCAGAGATGAGAATGGAAACATCACCTTAAAAACAACCAAGATTCAGAACATTATAAGGGAATACTTCTCAAAACTTTATGCTAGTAAGTTTGAGAACTTGGCAGAAATGCACCTTATCTTAGCAAATATTGACATGCCAAAACTAAACCAAGATGAGTTAAACCATCTTAACAGGCCCTTATCAAGCATTGAAATACAAAGAGCAATAAGAGATCTCCCAGCTAAGAAAGTCCAAGACCAGATGTTTTTACAGCAGAATTTTACAAGGACTTCAAAGCAGAGCTCACACCAATACTCCTCCAACTCTTCAATGAAATTGAAAGAGAAAGTTCACTACCGAAAACATTCTATGAAGCCATCATAACCCTCATCCCAAAATCAGGCAGGGACTCATCAAAGAAAGAGAACTATAGACCCATTTCTTTGATGAATATTGATGCAAAACTTCTCAACAAAATTTTGGCCAATCGACTTCAACAATTCACTCAAAAAATCATACAACACGATCAAACAGGATTCATTTCAGGGTGCAAACTGGTACAATATACGCAAATCAATTAATATTATTCATCACATAAACAGGAGCAAGAATAAGAACCACATGGTTATTTCAATATATGAAGTAAAAGCATTCAACAAGATGCAACACACCTTTATGATGAAGGTTCTGGAAAAACTAGGAATCCATGGAACATTCCTCAATACAATAAAGGCTGTTTATGACAAACCTACAGCCACCATTATACTTAATGGTGAAAAACTAAAGCCATTTCCTGTTAACTCAAGAACAAGACAAGGATGTCCACTCTCTCCACTTCTCTTCATCTAGTATTAGAATGCCTAGCTACAGCAATAAGACAAGATGCGAACATAAAGGGGATCCAAATAGGGAAAGAAGAAATAAAACTCTCCCTCTTTGCAGATGACATGATCTTGTATTTAAAGAATCCCATACACTCCACTCCTAAATTACTCAAGCTGATTCAAAACTTTGGCAAAGTAGCAAGGTATAAAATTAACCCCCCAAAATCAACGGCTTTTTTTGTATGCCAACAATGAGAAAAGTGTGGTTGAAATTAGGAAAGGAACTCCATTTATAATAGCCCCCCAAAAAATAAAATACCTAGGAATTATCTTACCCAAAGAAGTAAAGGACCTCTATGATGAAAACTTAAAAATCCTGAAAAAGGAAATCAACACAGAACTTAGAAAATGGCAAAACCTCCCATGCTCCTGGATTGGGAAGATTAACATCGTGAAAATGGCAATACTTCCCAAGGCTCTCTCCAAATTCAATGTGATACCTATCAAAATTCCAACCTCATTCCTCAAGGAAATAGAAGAGGCAATTCAAAAATTCATATGGAACAATAAAAGACCCTGAATAGCAAAAACGCTCCTCAACGGAAAGAACACTGCTGGAGGAATATCAATACCAAATTTCAAAGTCTACTATAAAGCCATAGTAATCAAAACAGCTTGCTGCTGGCATAAGAACAGACCTCAGGAACAATGGAATACAATTGAAAACCCAGAAATGAACCTACAGACCTGTAGCCATCTAATCTTCGATAAGGGAGCTAAAATAATAGAATGGAAGAAAGGCAGACTCTTCAGTAAATGGTGCTGGTGAAATTGGTTAACTACTTGTAGAAAACTGAAGCTAGAACCTTATATATCACCCTGCACCAGAATCAACTCCAAATGGATCAAAGACCTTGAACTCAAAGCAGACACCCTGAAAACATTACAGGATGGAATAGGAGAAAACCTAGGTCTCCTTGGCTCAGGCCGAAATTTTCTGAATAGAGACCCGGAAACACAGCAAATCAAAGAAAGGTTGGACAAATGGGATTTCGTGAAGTTCCAGAGCATCTGCATGGCAAAGTACATAACTGGCAAGATCAATAGAAAGCCCACGGATTGGGAGAAGATCTTCACTAGCCACACAACGGACAAGGGTCTCATCTATAAAATATACTTGGAACTTAAAAAATTAAATCCCCCAACAACAAATCCTCAAAGAAACAACTGCCCAATAAATAAGTGGGCTAAGGACTTAAAGAGAAACTTCTCTGAAGAAGAAAGAAGGATCGCCAATAGACACATGAAGAAATGCTCAACCTCCCTAGCCATAAAAGAAATGCAAATCAAAACAACATTGAGATACCACCTCACTCCAGTTAGAATGGCAAAAATCAAGAACTCTAAAAACAACAGATGCTGGAGGGGATGTGGACAGAAGGGAACCTTACTTCATTGTTGGTGCGAGTGTAAACCTTTTCAACCACTTTGAAAAGCAGTATGGATGTTTCTCAAAAGACGTCACATAGAGCTCCCCTATGACCCAGCAATCCCACTTTTGGGCATTTACCCAAATGTTTACAAACAAGACCACACTAAAGATACCAGCACAACTATGTTTATTGCAGCATTATTTACCATAGCTAAGATATGGAACCAACCCAGAAGCCCGTCAGTAGATGAATGGATCAAGAAAATGTGGTATATATAAACAAAATATATACACAAAAAATTCTATGCCTCCATCAGAAAGAATGACATTGCCCCATGTGTTAGGAAATGGAAAGGCTTGGAAAAAAT